GGCTTGGTAATCTAGTATCTGTTAAGAAATAAGCACGTTAAGTAACACTGTCAGAGAAGCATTTACTTAAATATTCATGAATTGGGGTAAAACCTGGACAGGTGCCCACATTTGAATAAGTTGACTTATAACAGTACTTTGTGTAAACCCAAAGCTTAAAATAGTGTGAAGACTCAATGACACTTGAATACAAATATTTACCTGTAAAAATATCTGAAGCTGGCAATTGTTTTATCCAGAAAAAGTGCTACACAGTGAATGAACATGACAGGTGTGGTAGAAAAAGATTTTGATCCTTATGGGATGAAGGGTTGTTTAGAATATGCGTTAGCACTGCTAACAGCATCCTTACATCCATATGGCAAACAGGCGGACAGCATGAACCCAAAAGAGTTAGTGGACAATCTGATGGAGGTTGCAGAGAGTGTGACCTCTACAGAAGTTACAATGTCAAGCTATGAAAAGCTGGCTAAAATTGCAATTCTGCTGAAAGAATCATTCTATACAGTTGTTGAGAAAGCTGATTACCTTGCAATAAGGTTAGACAGTGAAAAAGAGGTGGTTCAGAAAATTGAAGAACACTTCCTTCAATTTGAGAGCGAACACGAGGTCCTCATGACAAAACATTATGAACAGATGTTTCAATTACAGCAAAATGCAAATGTAGAAATTGATTCGCTGAATAGCAAAATACAGTTACTTAATGTATCACTATCTGAAGCCAGGGATGCTAAAGAGCTGTTGTCCAGTGCATACTTTGCAATAAGACGGGATCACGACGAGAAAATGTCACAATTTTCCCGCTGCAAAGGTGAAATAGATGTGCTTAAAACACAACTTGAGGAATGCACACTGGTAAAAGCGGTATTACTCCAACGATGTCTGCTTTTACAAAGTGAATGTCGGACATCACAGGAACGCCTGAAGGCTTGTGAGGAGAAACTGGTCGCAGCATCAAATAAAAGTTCTGACGTGGGGCGAGTTTGTCTGGAACTCAGAGAAGACCGTGGACAGAGTCCAGGTCACCCACAACCACCTCAGAAAGATGTTGTTGCACCTCCACATGTGTGGAGAGAAAAACCTCCAAAAGTCTATTACACACCTCTTGCTTTTAAGCCCATCCAACCACCCTCACCTAAAGTGGTAGGAACAGACCTGAACAGGTCTCCTCCACCAAACGTGCAACAGTGTGCTGTGAATGTGTTCGAGGCATGTTCTCATGCTAAGACGCCCATAGAAGTGTTTCCTGGTGTAAAGGTTAAACCCCACTCCCTAGAAATGGAAGGAAGGCGCGCGTCGCCACCTCCTCCTAAAACAGGCGAGAAAAGGCAGTATTTTCAAACTAACAAACCACGTAATGAAGGTGCACGCTGGGACAAAAAGGCTCCTCTTTCAGAGGATGAACGTGATGATCGTGAATGGGATATGCGTAGGACGCAAAGATATGGGATCCAAGAGGACCCATATTATCAGGGGAAGTCCGAAGAGGAACCCCCAAAAGACGTACCTAACCCTCTCCCACCTCGGACGAAACGAACCGAGGCGATAAAATCACAAAGGTCCCAGGAACAAGGCCCTACACCTCTGAGCTTGGAGGAGACAGAGAAACTACAAAGGTTTGTAGAAACTTTGAAAAACGCTGAAATGGGAATCCAACCAGGAGCACAATGTAGTGATCTGAT